CGTACAGAACGTAAACACATTTTGTAGGTGTAGCATTTTTGCTTAGTAGGATTGTAGTTTCCTTAGCGATGTTCTATATATTACCATCACGCTTCTTTGTTAGCAGTTTGCATGCGCAATCAATGCGCCAGTAGAACAATGGCGCCCCGGTGGTGGCTACTGATTCTCTGCCTCGCCGGCAACGAACTCCATGGTCGCGCACAGCTTGACAGCAGGGGTATCTCTCTCTTCTGTTATTGGCTTCTCTCTCTTAATCATGCTGCCTCATTTACATTGCATATTCATTGTGCAGGTTTCATCAACATAGACTGTGGGCTACAGGGAGAGGAGAGCTACGTCAACGACGAGACAAAGTTGGTGTACGTCTCAGACGCTGGCTTCACCAACAGTGGCACGCCTTACAACATCTCGGCTGAGAACTACCGGCCGTGGCGCTCCAGGAACGTCCGCAGCCTGCGTAGTTTCCCCGATGGCGTTCGCAACTGCTACACTTTAGGATCCCTGGTGTCGGGCCTCAAGTACCTCTTCCGCGCCACGTTTCTCTATGGCAACTACGACGGCCTTAACAAGCGACCAGCGACGTTCGACCTCTACATCGGCGTCAACTTCTGGATGGTGGTGAACATGTCGTGGTGGGGGTTGGACCAGGACAACACGGCGACGGTGGAGGCGATCATAGTTGTTCCACGCGACTTGGTGCAGGTGTGCCTGGTGAACACCGGCGGCGGGACGCCCTTCATCTCTGGGCTGGAGCTGAGGCCGCTGAAGATGTCGCTCTACCCACAGGTAACGGCGGAGGTGAGGTTGTTCCTGCTGCGCAGGCGAAATTTCGCCGCGATAAACGGAACTATCATCAGGTTCCCCGATAATCCATACGACAGGCTATGGTACCCTAGGTCCGACGCCACGATGTGGGCAGAGATGACTACGACCGAGAGGGTGGACGATGTCAATGGCGACGAGTTCGAGGCGCCCATGGCGGTGCTGCAGACGGTGATCAAGCTGCTGAACACCTCCGGTAGCATCAAGTTTGGCTGGGAGGTGGCGCCCGAGCTCAACAATGTGTCGCCGGGGCCGGGGTACCTCGCCGTCTTGCACTTCGTTGAACTGGAGCTCCTCGGCGGGGATGCCTTGCGCCAGTTCAACATCAGTGTCAACCACGACGAAAGCTGGGTCCCGGGCTACACGCCGCTAGGCTTTCTCCGCAAAGCCTATGTCTACAACAAATTCACCAACCCGCGCGACAGCAGCTACATCGTCACCATCAAGGCCACAGCCAATTCCATGCTGCCGCCCATCATCAACGCCTACGAGTTGTTCTCCGTCATCGCAACCACCAACGTTGGAATAGAATCCCAGGATGGTAATCAATTTAATTAAGCACATATTGACATCTAATTAAGCACATCTTGACATCTATGTATGTATGTATATCTATCTATCTACCTACCTTGTGCTACTGAAATGGTTGGTGCGATGTGATCAACTACTGCAAGTATGCGTGTAGCATCCGCCGTTATGGCGATCAAGGCTAAGTACGGGGTGCGGAAGAACTGGATGGTTGACCTGCAGCTATGCCGCTGCCAATCCTCCAAGGATCACAAGCATGTAAGTTATTTGTATATATTTTCAAATATTGGAAATCATGTAATGTTACAAATGAGAAAAGGGGTAATCAAGATGGCATTTCATAGATTGGGGAATTCAAGAAAAGTCAGAAATAAATTATAGACAAATAATACACCTTTTGTGAGTTCTATGAAGTTTTTAAAAGTATTCATGGGTTTCCTATCATTGTCCTGCTCTTCATAATATGTATATTTTTTGTAATTTTATTTCATATTTATATAATTTTAATTCATCAATTCTCACTTTTTTAGTAAGTTTTCAACATATACATTTTTTTATGTTCAACCTTGAATTGTATATATTGTATTCACATTTGAAGCTTTCAATTGAAATATGTTTCCCTCTACTTTTCTCATTATTTTGTGATGGGATGTTTAATGTTATAACATTTGAGCTGAGATCCTGAGACCAATTGAAAAAAATAGGGTCAAAGATGAGTGTGGTCAGAGAGATCAAAAAATTACCTTATGTATACAACCATGGAAAATGAAGCTGATCCTTTTATGTATGTGCTTTTTGTAGAAACATGTCCTCCAGTGGTCTAAATAGTGACATATCATCATCTTTCGCACATCTAAAGGCTCTCCAATACTTGTACGATTCGAGTTCTGGATTTATTTGGCCTAATCTCGTCTGTACTTCTCAGCAACACAAGCTTCAAGAATTTAAATATATTGTTTCCTTATCTTGCAGGGATTTGTCAAACAATAACTTGACAGGTTCAATTCCAGATGCCCTTTCACAGTTACCATCATTGACAGTCATGTAAGTTGGGCAACAATTAGCCCTAACTAATTAGCAACCATGCTTTTTTTGAAATAAAGTAGCAACCATGCTTATTTACACACTCAGACACAATATATGACACATATGCAATAATTAACAAGATTAATAGTTCCAACAAGCAACATATAGAAAAGTCTTGTCAAACTTTGACCGAATTGCTTCGAGTTATTATGTACGTATATAGTGTGTCTAATTTGTTTTCCTCTAGAGATTTGTCTGGCAAGCAACTCAATGGTTCAATTCCCTCTGGACTTCTCAAAAGGATTCAAGATGGCTTCCTGGTTCTAAGGTGTTCATAGTATATACATACTTCATAAATTCCACTAAGCTTCTTCGTTAAATTTTTTGGCGGGGACTTCATTAATTAACTTGGTCCTTGAATTATTAGACATGGCAACAATCCAAATCTTTGCACCGACCGCAATTCATGTCAGCTTGCTGCTAAAAGGAAGAGCAAACTGGCCATCTATGTTTCCGTCCCTATACTTGTCATCGTACTGATAGTATCAGTGTCCCTACTAGTCTTGTTCTTCCTAAGACGGCGAAACCAGCAGCAAGGTTAGAGTGAGGCCTTTTCGGCATGATCGAGCTAGCACACAACAATGCCAATATTTGGTCTATTAATTCATCAATTTCATGTGTATACATGAAGGATCAATGAAAAACAGGACAGCGGTAAAGCCACAAAATGAAGAGGCGATGTCGACGAGCTATGGCGGCGATGATGATTCTCTGCGACTAGTTGAGAATCGCCGGTTCACGTAAAAGGAACTCGAGAGGATAACCAATGGCTTTGACCGGGTGCTTGGCGAAGGAGGGTTCGGCCGTGTCTATAATGGCTTCCTGGAAGATGGTACTCAAGTGGCGGTGAAATTGCGGTCTCATTCCTCCAATCAAGGCATAAAGGAGTTCCTCGCAGAGGTGCGATGGACCAGATCCTTTAACAGCATGTGCCGTCAACTCTTGGCAGAAATGCGTGATTTTGATGTGAAATTTTGATGTGCTTGTGCAGGCCCAAATTTTAACCCGGATACATCACAAGAATCTTGTCTCGATGATTGGTTACTGCAAGGATCGGGAGTATATGGCATTTGTGTACGAGTACATGGCACAAGGGACCCTGCGAGAGCACATTGCAGGTATGAATACTAACTACGGCTAACAAAAAGGATTTGGCTTTCAACTCATATAGTGAATGCGCAAGTCGCCCTAGTGGTTCACCTGAGGTACTTTCTATTAATTCGGACAAACGCGCTGTTATTGTATTTGTAGCAAGTGGACGCAATGGAGGATGTTTACCATGGAAGCAGAGACTCAAAAACGCACTTGAATCTGCACAAGGTGCACGCTCAAATCTAGAGCAGCTTATTGCTGCTCTTCAATAGTTATGGCCTAATTTTGTATTCACCAGAGGCAAATTATTGCTATTGGGCGTGCATTTGACTTACAGGTTGATGTTCTTGCCATGTGTAGGGTTGGAGTATCTGCATGCATACGGGTTGCAACCCGCCTCTCATCCACAGGGATGTCAAGGCCACCAACATTCTGCTGAATGCCAGGCTAGAGGCCAGGATCGCCGATTTTGGCTTCACGAAAGCCTTTGACTATCACAACAACACCAATCTTTTCACGAACACGCTCGCTTTTACTCCTGGGTACGTTGATCCAGAGTACCAGGCCACGATGCAGCCAACGACCAAGAGCGACGTGTACAGCTTTGGAGTGGTGCTTCTGGAGCTGGTCACCGGGAAACCAGCCATTCTTTCAGACCCAGAGCCCACAAGCATCGTCCAATGGGCAAGGCAGCGATTGGCGCGCGGCAACATGGAGGGCGTGGTGGACGCGCGAATGCAGGGTGGTTATGATATCAACGGCGTGTGGAAGGTGGCCGAGATTACACTCAAATGCACCGCACAGGGGCCAGCACAGCGGCCCACCATGGCCAACGTGGTGGCGCAGCTACATGAGTGTGTGGAGCTCGAGGAGGGCCGCTCCTAGCTTCCACACCGGTGGCAGCAGCGGCGATGAGAATTACAATTGTTACGCTAGTGCGCAGTCCACCAACGTGAGCAGTAACACTGCATTCGAAACGGAGCTGAGGATACCAACATTGGCCACCGATCCAGGCCCGACAGCACGTTGAATACCTCTTTGTATAATTGTTGTTTTCTTTAAGTCTCTGTGAGATTCTCAATCATGTTGTTATTTATTCTCTCCTTGCCAAATTATAGTGGATATGAGATATTTTTCAAATTCTTAACTTTGTAAACTTTGCTAAGTTTACAGGAATATATGGACATGTACAACTCGATGGAGAGGAGTGTAGTTCCATCATACCGAGTACCATGTGCAGAACCTGGCATGTTAGCTTCAACAGTCATCACCGTCACTTTTCCCGCGACGCAGCCTCCAATGGAGCTGAAAAAAATTGTGTTAGAAAGCAAATGAAGCAGACAAAATCACTGAAATAACTTGCTGTGATGCTGCCTCCAACTCAGCAATCATAACTTATACTAGTAGAAAAAGAACTGAGAAAATCACACAGATTTAACTCCTGGCAAGAACATACTGTCCGACTATGCTCTCAAAAACAACAACAGAAAAACTAATCAGACACAGGAACAAACATGGGATCAACATGTCGCTTGATTTACCATGACACAAGTCTGGGATAGAACCGAGTCATTCATCTTAACAGACACCAATTGTGGCATAGAGATCGGGTACGGACTACCCAACCAAATACATGACCACAGGCATGCATGCATGTATAACGAAGCTTTATAGGGTAAAATTAGTGCAGAAAATAAGCCTGGTTCCCCTATAAAAAATAAGCCTGGTCACTAATTGGGCCGGTCCAATATGTGCGAGCTGCGCGTTTGCTTCTATCGAGCTATGCGCGGAACAGGAACTCCCGACAATTATCCACTCTCTTTTTACTCTCAGTACACCGGAAAAGAAAAGAACAGAAAACACCGAGGATGCTGACTGACATGCATTATCTTACAAGCAACCGAGACAAGTTGCTCTTAATTATCTGTGCGTACACCTCTAAGTCTTAACCTGACGTAACCAACCAGCCGTGTCTTGCATGGTTGATCTCGTCTCGGTGAGATCATATACTCTCACCTTGTCTAGGAATACTGCATTGTTTTCCTTTATCGATCTTTCTCATGGGTAGTGCATTGTTTCCCAAGGGAGCACCCTTCGTTCCATATTTCTACTTTCACACGACGGATGAATGAGTGTACCACCGTCTTTGTTTTACTTTAGACAGAAGGCGCCTGCTAGGCATTAGAAATAAAGCCCCACACGGCCACCAAACACTTACAGTGACTGACGCAGGCCCATAGAATATCACTAGCGATTATAGAACACGGTAAGTCATTTGATAGTAAGTTTGTTCCTAACGTGCCAGCGCAGCGAAACAGGAATAGACGAACCTACGAGCGCGTTTCATAACACCAAGATGAAGGGATCCCCACATGAAACGTGCAGAGTGCACTCGAAGAAGATATGCGAGGCATCCTCTTGTTCAGCACACAATGTACATGGGCCATTGGAGGGGCCATGATGTTTCTTGATCTGGTTGCTAGAAAGAAGACCTGATCATAATGCCAAATAAAAACGTCTATTGTTTCATTGTGACGCACATCTATGAGCGAGTAATCTTTACTATGAGCGAGTAGGATGTTGGATCACAGGCCGGAGTACACACGCGAGCACGGTGGAGAGGAACAGCGAGAGGAACACAAAGACACCGGTAGTTTTGCGAGGCGCAACTGCAAGCCTCTTTTCTTGCTTTCTTATCTTCTTATTCTTCGGTTACAGAAGGGAAAACGTGGCCGGTAAGGATCCTACCAAAGCGCCACGATCCGGTTAGCTCGTGCCATCCCACGAGCTCCTGAACGTGTCTACCACGCGATGCTAGACTGAAAGAAACGGCCCGATGCAAACGGATGCAC